GCATATACCCCCCAAAGTGTAAAAATACCTCTCCTCCAAAAACCTTGCACAGGGATGTCAATGTGATTGATAATCAATAGCTGGAGTGTGCCCTCGTGCGAGTGCTTGACTTCATAAGGACTCTTTAGGGGCTTCTTTTTCCCTTGCACCATTTCCGTTGTCTCCGATCCACTGCTTAGAGGTTCAGACCATTTATCATCCGAATTTAAAAACAACAGAAAATACCTGCTGTTTTGCCTTTGTCTCATTTGATAGGCATGCAGCATTATCCCACTAGGAGTTTAAGATGATAAAACACCAAGTGAGACGGAAGGCAGACTGAAACGGTTATATCATCATTAAACTTACAGCACCCTGGGCTGTTATGATGTATTTGTGCTACGTTGTAAGCCTCAAATGAACAATTTGAAAGTAAATGAAAAAAAATAGTATTATAGGTTAGAGAGGTGTTCGTTACCCCAGATGTTACAGATTTAGAAGCTTTCATTATTCCTCTTAAAATCGTGTGTGTGTAAAATAAAACCTTGCTGAATAGTTTGGGGGTCGTATTCCTTCCCTTTGGTGTGAGTTCAGAGCCGAGTATGATTTGTGATGAAGAGAACACCCAAAAGTATGGCTACACCTTCACACCGCAGCAGGGTCAGAGCTCACTCCGTTCTGGTTGTGCTGAGTGTCTGCCAGAAGCCAAATAAATCCAGCTGATGTGGCACCAGCTGGACTCGTGCTGTTTGCAGTAAAACTTGTACAGGTTTTGATGAGCCAGGGGAAGCGGTGTTGTCACACTGCTGACAGCTGGGTGTCATGTCCTCGCTTTGTTTAACTAGATACATTAGTCACTGGGGAGAACACTAGAAGACATTGTCACTGCAGTGCACTGAAAAGTATTAGCAGATCTTAGCAAGGAATCTGACCGTGATCAAATATTCTTCTTAAATTAAAAGCATGTTTAGGTATTCCGCTCAGCCCGTTCTTAGGTAGCTAATAATGGAGTTGGATCGTCTTGCTCTATTTTGAGGATGTCTTATTGAATCATGCATAGAATGATGTGACTAATTTGTGGAACAGAAGTCCCTGTGCAGCAACTGTTCACTGTGGTTTTCCTGGGGGGAAGATAGGACTTTCTGTGTTGAAAGACACTGATCATTCTTTTCAGCATATCAAAGAACAAATGTACTGTAGGCTTTTCTATTGAGGAAAAAAAAAAACCAAAAAGAACAAATGGCTTTTATCTGTATTTCTGTCATTACATCGGAATAAATCTCACCTAATGGGACTTGTAGCAACGTAGATAAAAGACAGTCACACTGTCAGTGAGATATGGAGCACAACAGAACAAGGCACACCACAGAAGCAGGAGGGCTGATCCCTGCAGGGGCAACCTGTGAGTGTATAATTCAGCCTGCTTAGAGTTAACCATTGGTGTGCAGAGCTAAGGCTCTACAGAACCAAGTACCCAACAGTGGCTAATGCAGTGGCTGTGCAGCCTTACTGAACGCTGAGCTGGATGGATCCTTCCACAGAAAAAAGAGTTCTGTCTCTGCATCCACTCTGCCGTAGGCACACACACAGAGGCTGTGATGGAGGACACCCTGAGGGACAGTCCACAGCCACCTGGGCTGTGAGGGCTGAGCTACGGCTCTCAATTTGGGCAGAACTGGGGGTAAGCTGAAAGCAGCAGGCTCACCCTGAAGAATAGAAAAGGGGTGAGGGAACAGTGCAAAAGGGTGAAAGAGGCAGACTTGTGGGATCCTGTGGAGATTAAGAAAGGAAAAGCAGCAAGCAGCATGTTTTTAGAAATATGGAGAAATACATGACAAAAGTGAAAATTAACGAAGAACAATACGCTGTTTCAACTAATCAGATATGGTAACATTATCACTGTGGGCAGAAGAGGAAGGAAGTTCTGGGTGTGAACTCCAGGAGACAGGCGTTAACTGGAGTGGTCTGACACAGAACACAGAATTATTTATTTCAGTGTAAACCATGGTGTTGACAAAGTCAACATAACATAGAGTTAGCTTTGTCCTGTCACCGTTTGTGCGAGGATTTTGTCTAAAATACTGTTTGAGTTCTCTCCAAATTCTATCCGTGGACACTTGAAAACTGTAGACCGAAAGCAGCAGACACGCTGGCACCAGTAATTGTTTTGAGCTAGATTCAAATATTAAGGGTTTTAATTTTTATCTTTTATTTTGCTATTTAAAATAGTATGGGTTGTCCTCTTTATTAGTGTAACATGCAAAGAAAGAAATCAACAACTTATGTAAGGCTTCTTCGAAAGGAAAATTGTTCAAGGTATGGTTTTGATCAGTCCCTTTCCTAGGATCCCACCTGTAAATGCAGTTCTTGCACCTCTCTTGCTCTCCAAGCTCAAGAAACAGCATTGCCTTTTAACACGTGAGTCAGAAAGGCAGGCTTTCTGTAAAACAAAGTGACTGGTGCTGTCTTTGATGTACCCTTCTCATTTTACCTGGGGCTATGTGATATTACCTTTACTGTCCTACAGCTTCTTTGTGGTCAGCCAGCATTTTCTTTCTTGAAAAAGCAGCGTACTTGGGACGTGTGCTTCTGAAAAAGCACTGTGTTGTAATCTCATATATCTGGGTATTCTTAAGTCCACAGAGAAAAATGGTGAGTTATCTTTTCATCCCAGAATATTCATAGTAAATAGAAAAATAAAAATCTTATCAGTCCTTACTGTCCAAAGGAAGTCATAAACGTGACTCCTGAGTTGTACGCAAATAAAATTAAATTGAGAGGGATTGAAGAGGTATGCATAATTCTACTTGTAGAGAAGCTACCAAGATTATAATAGAGAAGGTTGGCAGTGACTTGAAAGTATCCCTGCTGCTTGAAAGTATTCCTGCTGTGGAAAATGACCACACAACTTAGAGTGAATCAGTAGAACTTTGCTGTAAGCAGACCAGTTCCCAGCTGAGTTGACTGAACGAGGCACAAAGCAATTTTCTTACAGGAATGTAGGTGTGAGCCTTTAAATACAGAGACCCGCTGATGACTTCAAAATTGAGTCACCAGCAATGATGAATTTTTGAAGAGATCAATTTACCTTCATTTGAAACTGTTTCAGAATAGCTGTTAATTGTTTCAAAAAAGAGCCTGTGCCCTTTCTGTTTCTGCCTATGTATTTCCTAGTAGATAGATTCCTAATAGCAGGACTGAAAAGCCTGTGAACACCATGGAGACACTCTTTTGTCAGTGTTGCATTGTGGTATATTTGTGGTCTTTTTTTCTTTGCTTCCTTAACTTTTTGTTTAACTTCCTTATTTCATTTCTGTTTGATGTGTGTGTTCATTTTAGTGATACTATAGTTCATCTCCTAACTTCTTTAACTTGGGAACACTACTCCCAGGCACCTAGCAGGCTTAATAACATATTAGCCAGCTAGTCATCGTGCTTCCCAGGTCAGCTGTAGAACAGGATAAATCTCCTGGAAGTACTTAGCATAAATCTGTTTCATCAAAATGGCTATATAGTTTCACTTTGTCACCTGTTGGCTTGCTTTGCTGTTTAAATGCTGTTCTATTTGTTCCTAACTTCCCCTGTTTAACAGCAGACAAACCCAGGGAGCACTGAATGAATCGGATGATCCCGAAACAGGCTGTCTAACTGATAACAAGCCAACTTCTCGACACTTCTATCCTGTCGCCTTGCTGCTTGTCAGCTCACACCTGCTGGTTGTGTGGCTTATTTTAAGTCTTGCTTTGCTATTAGCCAAATATCAATAAACTTCACTTGCGTTCCTTTCTTTTCTACAAACAGCAACAAACTAACTTTAGAAAAAGGAATTATGCTGTAATATTTCTACAGTCTCAGACCCCAAGGATTCATCTTTAAGATACCAATGTCTGAAATGTACTATGTTTTTGAGGTTTTTTTTTTTCTGAATTCGAAGAAATATACTATGCATTGAGTGAATTGATTTGCTCGTTCTGTTCATGATAAAGCTTTCCCACTGTAATTAGCTCAAAGAAAGCCCATTTACAATGCTGTCACTGTATACAAGATGATGTGGAATCCTGAATGCTTGAACCCCTCTTCCCAGAGTAATTAGTCTGACAAAAAAATTTAAAAATGAATTTGCACAGCACAAACTAACCCCTAGACAAATATTACAGGGTGGTGGTTTGTGAGACTTAACTTTCATTGTGTTATTTTCATTGTTATTAGCTGATGGAATCTTTTTTGTTTAACAACTGATTATTACTTTGCTACAACTAATCCTTTTCTGTCAAGTAACTAAATGGAATAGAGTAAGTTCTGTTTTGTAATGAAATTAACCTGTTTGTAATCGTTGCTTTGGTTGCTTTTGCTTTCAAGACACTTTTATATTCTTTTTAAGAAAGTCCTGTTAATGTCTTGATGCACCACTTTGGCACTTGTGACTTTTGTACTGTATGTGAACAAACATCCTTCCTTTATAAAGCAGAGAGTTGGATTGGGCTGTTTGAAAAGCCATTCTCTTTTTTTTTTTCTTTTTTTTTCTTTTTTTCATTGCAAAGCTGAACATACGGGAAATGAAGCAGAGATGAAACTTTTCCTTCGCAAATCTCTAGGGCCAGACTTACTAAAATGCCTTATTTCTAGAATACACATTTTTAGGGCATCGTGTACTCTCATACATATAGTAAAAAATTTGAAAAAAAAAGTATGAGAAGGTTTAAAAGGCAAATATATTTCTGGAATTAGAGGAACATGTATCATTAAAGTATTTAAATTTTTTTTACTAAACTTTAAACCTCAAGGGCAAATATATTAGGGGGAAAAAATTTTATCACCTATTTCTGAGGGCAATAACTGTACTGGGCCTGGCCTTGGATTTAATTTTGTAAGATGTATCATCACTTGTGGAAAACAAAAAATGTAGAGCTGAATCTTTGTTATTTTTACTTCAACTGTTGCTGAAACTCTGCAATGAACAAATAAAGCATATTTATTTATTCTGTGTTTCATGAAGTTGTACTTTTTCCCCCTTTCACTAGAGAAGGATGCCGCATAGAGAATGTACTGAAGAATGTCAAATGCAGAAAGTATGCATTCAACATGATACAGCTGATGGCTTTCCCAAAGTACTACAGACCTCCAGAAGGGACATATGGAAAAGCTGACACCTAAGTTTAACAAAAATGTAATCAGGAACATACATCATGCTAATTAGTGAATACAAAAATCACTGTTTATGACTTATTAATTGGGAATGTGTAACCAGTTGAGGTGTTATTTTTATCAGGTTTTTATTTTACATTAAAATAACTCCAGTTAGTCGTAATTAAATAAAATATCATGAAAAAGCAATGGACTGAATATTCTCAAAACCAAATATATTCAACTTTTCTTTGTGAAGCTGAAGCTTAGGATGACTCATAAGCTAGCTGGAATTAGTTTTTTGGGTCATTTGATCAAAGATTAAAAAGGGAAATGTTGTTTGCAATGGTTACTGAGGTTAGCAATCTGGAAGGTGGCATTCTGACTCTGAACCAAAACCTGAAATACTGCTGGAAATAGGAATTTCTGGAACCAGCACAGCACCAAGGTCTTGATCGCTAATGATTAAATCCTTCACAGAAGTATTTATGAAAGGAGCTAATGTTAATACCTGGGCTAAATATAATTTTGGTAAATACACTTAGCTTCTTTACATAAGCATGGTAACTTCATAATATGTTTTCAGTAATTACAGCCTGTAATTTCAGTAATTTCATCCTGATGCCTTGCAGTTCATTTGGATGTATCATTCTTGGCTTTCTGTACCACAGCCAAATACGACTTATTTCACTTTCGCATAAATCACAGGGGGATTAATTCTTCAAGTAAGGTGACCTGAATTCGGCCTATCACGTTCCCGTTTGCTGTAAACTCTTAAAACTAAATTTTCTTCAGTGGTAGGGAAAATGAGTTGTATATACAGGAGTTAATATATCTTTAGGCTATAAAAACATGTATGTTTTTATAGAGTCTAAGATAAATGTTATAATTATGAGTAACCTGCTGTATTAGGACTAGTTAGCCACTGCAGCTGATTTATGTCAAATTTGTAATGCTGCATGTAGACTCTCTAGGATGAAGAACTATCAGCTTTAAAAATTAATGTTAATGCTTCTGCCAGCTTGTGTTGCTCCTGAAATTTATCTTGCAAAGAACATTTATATTTTCTAATTGTATCTATTTATTGCTGCCTTCTGCCTCCCAGACAGAAATACAATTAAAAAAACCCAAGTATTCACTGTTTACTGACCTTTATGTAATGCATTCATTTTGAGGTAAAAATAGCTAGAGCAGAAGTGTGAGAATTTCATCCTAATGAAACTGCACAGGGAATTTGAGCATCTGTAGGAAATTGTAATTGCCATGGATAAAGAAGTTAATGTTTGCTTGCTCCTATGGAAGTCAAAGAAATCTTGATGCACTGTTGAGTTAGAATTTGTTCTTTTTAGTCCATTAATGCCCATTACTAGGTATAAATCTGTAACTACTAGTAAAAATACATATTTAAGAGCCTGATTCTGCAAATTCCATGGAAATGGTCTATCCCGTGAATAAATTTAAATCATTTGCTGCATTTGCAAGATCAGGCCTTGGGGCTAGTAGAAAAACATCAGGAAGAGATCCTCCTTCCAATATACATTGACTTCAGTGAAGCCAGGAATTCACGTGTACAATGTATTTAACTAATTGGAAGGTTTTTTTTAAAGTAGCGTTGGTCATTTAAATCGTGTTTTGGTGCACTTGTTGTATATTTGTATTATATAATGTGCTAACATGAATGACTTCTTTGTTCTTCTGGAATGTATTACTTCAATGATAGATAGACATCAGAAGAGTTGGCATTGCCTCACAGACAAGCTCAGGCAGATAAGAATATAATGCCTTGATATTTTTTTTCCTGTTGTGCACCAGTAGAAGTGTACACTACTCATTGGGTGGGTGGGTGTGTGCATAAATTTGTGTTTGGACCTTTAACATAGCTGATCTGTAAAAAAATATTTTTTGTGGATTTATGTAACATAAATCATCTTAGGAAAGTAACCTTTTTCTCTGTCAGACTGCTCCACTAACCCTCACTATCTGCCATTTTTACTATGAGCTTAGTATAGTTTAGAACTAGTGATAAATTCCTGATGCACCTGTGAAAAAATCTCATAGATGTACAATAGAGAATGCTGGCCTTCCTGCAGTAATTCTGAAACAACCCGGGAGAGTCTACGTGGGGATGGTATTCACTGGTGGGTACTATAGATTTCTGTGGTTATCTTAGTCCCATGGGCATCCTGTCAAGTTCAAAATATGAAATTTTATAGATTTTCTTCTTATCAGCAAAACAGGTTTTCAAGATCTTGCCTCAGCATTTTAATCCCACTTGGGTTCTAAATTGCCATTGTCACTGTCATGTTACTTTTATATTGAAGAGGTTTCTCTCACATCGAAGCTACATTTTTGGAGGGAGAGAGGGGGAACAAGAGAAAAAAAAAGGTATTGTATTGCTGTCCTCTTTGTTTTCACAGCCACTCTGGGTGTGTTCTTGTGAATTAAATGATCTGTTAGTTGTTAAAGATAATTAAGAACAAAAGCCAAAAGCACATCAGTGTGCTGCAGGGAAACTTCACTGGGCTTGGGCTGTTAAAGAAGAGTAGTCTGGCTTTTCTGCTAAATAAGCCTGAACTTCTCCAAGCCAATTTTTTGATTGGAACATCAATTTGTAGGTCACAAGACCCTTGTAAAACCCGCTGACACAGTTCCAAGAGCCTTGTTGCTTCAGTACTGAGACAGGCTCAGTTATTTCCTTGTTCGGTCATTGCCTGCTGTGGGCTACTGCAGTTCATAGAGGCAAAGGTTGTGTCATCAAAGCCCAGTTGTCAACTAAGCATGGATTTAAAACTAGTGTTTTTACTGATTTGCCTTTTATGAAGAAACAAAGGGGGGTTTGATGCAGGTTTTGATGCAGGCTGACAGTTTTGTTACTTGTAGCACGTTTCGCAGAAGCTGCTTCAAGCCCTGTGCCTGGTTTGAATGCCTAACGGAGGAGTTAAATCATCCCTGAGGTCTTGTATATATTCTTGTAGTTCACTCTGAATATCAGAGAAGTAAAATTAAGCAAATGAATTTTTATGAGCGAGCTATACCATTTGTTTTGCAAAGTTTTAAGGGAAACATACTGACCTTGGTGGCAGATTCACAGAAAATCGTTCCTTATCTGCTCTCTTAAAACTTTTGTAAGGTATAAAATAATCTGCTTTGAGGGGAGAGCAGTTCTCAAGGGCTAGAAGATGAACATTCGAAAATATATCTGGCATCTAAAGCCAAATTCTGTCTTATTTATGGAAGATATTATTTGTAGAAATAAGGTCATTGGGATCTGCCTTGAGGAATCCTGAAATAAGGGCTTCTAGCTCTGAATATTTGTACCATGGGGGTTTTGTACCACAGACTAGTGTCTAAATAGAAAGCTAGTATAAGATGCCAAAAAAATAAGGAAAGGAAAGTTAAAGTATTTTTTTTCTCAGAGATGACTGTAATACTGTTATAATAAATAATATGTGCACGCCTGACATTATTAAGCCAGCAGGTCTTTTTTTCTGAAGTCTTCTTTTGTGGAATTTAAAATATGTTCTTGTTAATGTTTATTCTTTGGCTTATATGGAGCAATTAGGAAACAGAATTTTTTAATTATGTTATCTGATTATTTTTTTGTCTACGTGAAGCTGTGTATTTTGTTGGAATATGAGCAATTTATGTGTTATAAAGAACAAATAATTTAGAAGGACAGCAGAAACAAAATATTAACTGAGAAAGAGCCTTAATGAAGTCCCTTGCAATGTTAATTTTTGTACTGTCTGAATTTTGGCATTACATAACTGAAATAAGGAAATTAAAAAACACTTCCTGTGTCTAAATTAATCACTCCTGATACAATTCATTTATTTGCAGTAAAATAAAATGTAATGGTATTCTAAATCATTACTAATAATCTAGGTGTAAAGAAGTCCAACACATAATTTTGAAACCCACTGCATAATATGCCTATTATGAGCTTCAGAAAATAAGACTATTTTTATTTCTAGTTCAAACACAAGTTCCAGGAAGTCCTATGGTCCCCTTAGAAAAAGCAGAAAATGCACTGATCATCAACCGGTGTAATAAAGAAATTACATTAAAAACTATGCAGCAAAATTACTTGTGTGAATTAATGTATGTAATCAATTAGCAATTTTAAACATATATTATGTCAGTTGACTATGTTATAAGCTTGAAACTATTGATATCTCTATTTATGGGGGTTTTTATTGTAAAGAAATGTGCTGTACAGGCAATGCCATGAGACATGAATTTGCATCTTGCTTTACACTTACTTGCAGCTTAAAAGCAGATGTTTACAATCAAAATGCTTTAAATAATTTACTGTTCTTCAAAACACAGATGTACCTTATAAATCGCATGTTTAAAAGAGTAAATCATACAAATAGTTTTTTAAAGCAAAAAAAGAAAAAAATCCCAGACTTCAGGCTCTAGAGCATTGGGTTTCTTCCCAAGTCATGCAACGCATTGACTGTTGTGTTGCCAGAGCATTCAGCTTACACTCTGCAGCACTCAAACATTTATTTGCTTTTTGTCTCATAACATCTACTGAGTAAATAATATAACAATGATTAATTTCAGCATGATACTCATGATCCAAGATTAAAAACTGGCATTTGTTCAAATAAAGGTGAAACTCAATACTTCAGAATATATATAAAATAGAAGACACTTGTGAACTAATGTAACCATATTGCAAACAGCTGAAACATAAAGCATGGGGTTTGTGTGCTGACAGGGAGAAACAGTTATGGTAGAAATCTGACTGTGATAATACAGTGCCCTTTATCTGTGGGGTATGGAGTGGTGAGATTTGGACCACACTGCTCTTAAGTCTCTAACAATTGACAGTGGTGTTTTGTATTCTTTTCATGCATGCAAGTTCTCAGCATTTCTGTTTTGTTTATGAATGGTCTGACTTGAAAATTTCCAAAATCCCAAGTTAGTTTGTTTTCATTTTGCGTAATTGTTCCTTGTAATGTTCCTGTCTCACACTCTGGAACACATGGGCTATGTACAAGTAACACTAAGAGGACTACAGTCCATACCGTGTGTTTGTTCAGAGAAATGAAGCACAACTGTAGCAATTAAACTCTTTTTGTTTTTCAGGATTTAGCATTTTTGTTTCATTGCTGTCTGTAAGCCATGTCCATTGTACACTGTGTGTATGTTTTTATTTAAATAAATGTGATGTTTATTTTTTATGTTTCTGACTTCTTTTGTTTGTTACTCATTTTTCATTTTCATTATGGTGGTGTTGCCTAGAGGGCAGATTGTGCATGATGCTGAGATTGGGTTCCCTCCTAAAGGAGGCGGAGGAAGCCCACCCACAGGTGGGAGCAAGTATTTAAGAAAAGCTCTGCTACAACATTAAGAAGTCTGCAATGACCATAAATCTATTGTTCCTATTTTTCCTACAACTTTCATCTCAGAACCAGCCGGGTCCTGCATTTTCTTATTAAAAACAAACAAAACATTCACATACCTGTAAGGAAACCCCTTTCACATAACTATTGATCTGTAGATAGTTATTTAGTGTAACAGAAATGGAATCAACATCTTTTATAATGAAGACTACTAAAAAGGCAGCACAGCACGCTTTGGGTGGTGTTTTGTCTTCACTGTCTTAATGCAGGATTCTAGACCTTGGGAAATAGGTTGCTTCTGTGCTTTTTTATTTGGGGTTGTTGTTGATAACTAGATTTATTGTATAATTAGTCATCACAACGAAAGGTAAGTTCTCCATGGTTAGCTTGAAATGTAGCAAAGATAAATTTTTTTTGGGTATATGATAAAATGTGGCTTGCCTTTTGTATTATCACTACAATGATTAGAAGCTCGTTGCATAAATTACTTTCTCTGTTTATATGCTAGCACGTTAAGCTGTTTTACTGTGATACATTCAGTGAGATTTTAATTACCTGCAGGGTTCTTGATAACCTATAGAAAGTACCAGGAACTGATAGTTATGGTAATAAGTTACAAAGCTGTTAGCATTCAGCCTAGGAAATTTTGTTTTTTACTAATAAAAGTGAGTCTTTAAAAAATACTTCGTCTCACTTGGCATGCTTGTGGAGTTCATCTTCTATGTCAACGGGGAGCCACTTTTTTCTCATGACAACGTAAGGGAGAAAAGAAGAACCTACAGCTGTGATGAGGTGAGAGCATAGTATGATAGTAAAAATATATTTTCACTAATTCTTTTTCCAAAGTTAACTTTGGGGCACATATTTGAATAGAAGTATGACCTGGTGTTTCTGAACCACAGTCTGCATTGGTCTGCTCTGGGCTGTCCTTTGTTGGCACTGAGAACACAGGTACACAAATGCTGCCTCTGCTGGGCAACCAAGTGGGAGCCCTCCTGGGTGCTTGGTATTGAGTCTCGTACGGATCACAGCCTTTACTAGTTCTGTGACGACCACTGTTAATGGAATTAAGGGCAATAAGGTTCCGTGTGCAAACTGAACTGTGTGCTGCTTGCTTTGCCCAAATAAATGGACCCTATGCATTTCTGTGTAGGCTGTCTAACGCAGCACGTAAATGAGAAGTCCACTTGCTCTGCTGCAGGGAAGCTTTTTTGGCATTGTTAGTGGAGAAGATGTAAACTGCTTCTAGATCAACTGGGATAAGAAGCTGAATTTGAAAAGTAGCTGTATTTTTTTTTATGTGTGTATATATGTGTATACATATGCATATTATATATACACTTGCATATTTTTGATCTACTGTAGGATGGGAAAAGGCAGTTAAATAAGATGCATTAAAAAAATTGAACTTGCTGTATTTCTAGCAGTTAAATACAGTTTTGCTATTGGAAGTGTTGCACAAAAGATAGGTTTGCGTGAACAAAGCTTTAGCAGGGCCTACAGTGTGCAGCGTATGTTGACTCTTGTGCTAAAACTTACTTCTGGGGAAATAGCAAAAGGAGAGAGAGAAAAGGGAAAGGGAAGATGTTTCCTGGTGGCTTCCCAGACTGAGCCTGCCCTAAGAGCTCCAGCCTTGGCTGGTTGTTCCTACTCATAAACACTGTTGCTACTGACCACAGCGGGCCTCGATCAGGGCAGTTCTGCTGAGGCTTGTGAGGCTTTGTGCCTGTGTGTCTTTGGGTCTCTAATGAAAACCAAAGGCTACAACCGAGGGGCAGGAAGAGGGGGAAGAAAGGGGTGAATTCTGTGCCAGTGGCAATCAGTTCCTATAAGCACCAGCTGTAACAGTATCAGGCTGCAGGTGCCAGGCTGTGAGAATAACAGCATAAAAAAAAAAAGGGGGAAAAATACTGCTGTGCTCGCTTCATCTTTCCTCAGCAAAGTCCATGTGGATATCCATTTTTCATTCAAGAATAATTTGTGACTGTTGTAATTTACAGGACAAAGCAGATTAAACTGCTGACTTGAACAGAATTAGAATAACTGTCATACATAAGCACTGATTGCCACAGCAGAATTTGCCCCTTGGGTGATATCACTCCTTAGAGATTTTCTTGCAGTGTAAAACTTAACATATTTTGAAACAGAGAAAAGTTTTTGAGGTCTAATCCTGAAGTCATTATTCACAAGTGAAGAATCAGAAATGGAGGATTTCAAGTGAGAAACTAACTCCAAGGACCAGATTTTAAAAGGATTCAGAAGCATTCACATTCCTGAACTTTGGTTCAGAACAGTGAATGTAAAACCATTTTGTTTGTACGAGGCCCCACACAGGAAGAGCTTCTTCATGGTCGTGGTCTGTGAATACTCTTTCAGTATGCATAAAAGTTGATTCCAATTTCCTGTAAATTATTATAATAAATAGCTAACTCTCTAATGAACTTGCACACAGAAGCAAATACATGCCTTTAACATGGTCTGTTTAGAAGGGATACGTGCAGTAAAATATTCAAAAGCATCTGAATGGAGTCTGGTTTAGTAGTAAGACACAGGTTTCCAACCTGTCTGGGCACTTATAAAAGGAAAAAATACATTGCGTAAATAACAGCTTCATTCTGTTTTCCTTGGTGCTACTTACATCAGGGTGGGTTAAATCAAGGTAGATTCTCAACACTTTAATTTTAATTTAGTTTCTCTCTGGTATTGTGGGTGGTAAGAGAAAGGCTAGAGAAGCCCAAGTTAATGAAATATCATATCCTGGCTCTTAGTGTTTTTCAAACAAGACCTGAGTATCAGGAAATAGTTACAAAGGATGTGTCAGAAGGATGCTCATAAATTGGGTCATCTTACTTGGTTCTGTTTCCAGGTGATGACTTAAGAGTCTCTGTCACAAAGATAAGACTGATTTTAATATGCAACACACAGAGGACTGGTTTCCAGCAGCCACATTCTGCTGCTTGTTCTGTAATATGAGCTCTGAACCAGGCTCAACTGGGGCTCAGTAATCCCAAAAGAAACTTCCCGATTAATCCCAGCCTTCCTACCGCTCAGTTCTGTGCACGATGTTTCAGTGTTGGGGAGCAACCACCACCCTCCCACTCTGTTAGTGCATCTGGATTCTCATTATGGTTAGCAACTGTATGGCTAGATGGTTATGTGATGGAATTCAGAGTTAAGTTCAGGGGATGTACATCAAATACCCGGCAGATAAACAGATGTAATAAAATCAGGGAGCAAAAAGATCTCCGACTAGTCAAGGACAAATAAGGAAGGTCATGTCTTAACCCAAGCCCTACATTTTAGACTGCATTCAACTTTTGTCTCCACCTCAGATATTCTTGGAGCTGCAATTCTTTGTTGCTTTGTGACTGTGGTAGCAGCTACGTTGGAAATAGACTACCGGTTTATCAGCAGATATGTGAAAAATGTCCTTAAACAAATGACAGTATTGTTTAAGAGCTGTGGCCGCTCAGCCAAGTGGGTATAGTGCACATATATTCTCATATGGGCAAAGTGATTTTGCAGAGAAATGGTCATACCGCTTAGGACGCTCCACAAAATGAAGGGACCAAGACAGCGCTGAACTGAGAAGGTAAGAAGTGGGTGCAAGAATGTGTCAAGGCAATCTTATTTATGATTGTGTCTCTGGATTCTACATCTGAAGATTAAAAGACTGTTTAGAGGTTGATTACAAGACCTAATATAAACAGAAAATACTTGCATGTTTAGATATGTTAAATATTTGCAAAGTTCCACAGAAACTTTTGATCCAAACCAAGCTAATTTTTACCCTGAAAAAAACCCAAAACTCAAAAAATGCCACTAAGTAATATTAAACGGTACTTTTAACACCTACCTTTACCTCCTAATTATACACCACCTCCACACTTTGTTGAAACAGAGTTATTAAAAAAAATTTTTTTAAAAATCGGGACTTATTTTTCCCATATTGATATTTTAAAAGTGAGTAAGTTATTAAAAAAAAAAATTTTTTTAAAAATCGGGACTTATTTTTCCCATATTGATATTTTAAAAGTGAGTATTTCATTGAGCGGAAAGCAGCAGCTGTTAGCAGGTTTTTTGTGTGAATCCAGTTAGTGTGCTTAGCTACAAAACGCTGATAAGAGCTGGTTAATAAAAAAAGTGAAGCACCCAGTTTATATTTATGTATTCATGGGCATAGGAAATGGACATCAGCAGGGAAGATGTGCTCCTACACTTTTTAAAAATCAACAGGAAACACAATGCAATTCCCTTTTGCATTAAACTTATTAAGTCAAATAATTTTTTACAAGCGCACAGGCCAGAGTTCTGGCACTTAATTCCTTTTGATCTTCCACCTGCTAAATTCCATTTCCCACCATCCCACTACGTATTTTAACAGAAAAATTGTTGGACATCATTAAAAAGAAGATACAACTTCTAGCAGTACTTAGGCACTAAAATGGCTGTCAAGGTATTAACTCTTTGCGTACACACACACACAAAATAACCATTCACAAAAAGGGGAATTTTGGAGTTAAGAAAAATGCTCAATTGTTCTGTTCAAGAGCGTGAAGCAGACTACACACCTGATACTGACTTATGCAAGACCAGCATTGCAGAGAACTCTCACTAATTTCTGTGCTCAAAGTGCAACTTCCAGTTACCATGGCTGTTGAGTGTCTGGATAAAGAGACTGCTATGAAGTGATAGGTTTTGAAGGGAAGCCACTGTGACAGAACCAATGGATGTGTCTTGTAATTACAATGATGCTAACTCAAAATTATCCTTTACAATGATTACTGTCCTGAAAGGCACATAACCTAATTATGGATTCTTTTTCCAGCTGACTACTACTTAGTCAA